ATTTCGGGCCTGCCGATGCCGCGATCCCTCGTAAAACACGTCGGATTCGCGTCGCGCGCTGCGCGCGCTCCTGGGAGCGCCTGGGAGCACCTGGGAGCGCCTGGGAGCGCCTGGGAGCGTGCCGGGAGCGTGCAGGGAGCGTGCCGGGAGCGCCTGGGAGCGCTCGGGAGCGTGCCGCGAGCGCCCGGGAGCGCCTGGGAGCGCTTGGGAACGCTTGGGAGCGTGCCGGAAGCGTTTAGGAGGGCCTGGGAGCCCCTGCCTGGGAGCGCTTCCGGGCGCCTGGGAGCTTCGAGACCGCCTGGGGGCGCCTGCGAGCGTGCCGGGAGCGCCTCGAGCAGCCTGAGCCTGCCCCGCGCGCTGTTTTCCCCACCGCTTCTGCGCCGCGTCGGCTTCGCTCGGAGCAACGATATGGTTGGCGCTCCCATCAGGCGCTCGCGCAAGCTGCGCCGGCTCCTTACTCACCCAACATCGTTCGGCATGGTATCGTTTCACTGTCTTTCGCCATGGCACCACTCGAGCTTGCTCAATACGTGGTGTTTTTTCGTCTTGAGGGTTTAGGGTTTAGGGTTTAGGGTTTAGGGTTTAGGGTTTAGGGTTTAGGGTTTAGGGTTTACACAACGTATTAGCGTCTGCGGACCTCGCGGCGGTCTCAATTGGTCTGCGCTATCGCCGAGAGCGCTTCCGTGCGTGCCCGCTCGAAGATCGCGCTCCCTCTCGCGCGGCGGCTGTCTGCCTGCGCTGTTCCGAGAGCGCTTCCGTGCGTGCCCGCTCGAAGATCGCGCTCCCTCCCGCGCGGCGGCTATCTCCCTGGGAGCGCCTGGAGCACCTGGGAGCGCCTGGAAGCGCCTGGGGGCGCTTGGGAGCGTGCCGGGAGCGTGCCAGGAGCGCCTGGGAGCGCCCGGGAGCGCCTGCCTGGGAGCGCTTGGGAGCGTGCCGGGAACGTGCCGGGAGCGTGCCGGGAGCGCCTGGGAGCGCCTGGGAGCGCCTGGGAGCACTTGGGAGCGCCCGGGAGCGCTTGGGAGCGTGCCGGGAGCGCGCCGGGAGCGCCTGGGAGCGCCCGGGAGCGTGCCGGGAGCGCCCGGGAGCGCTTGGGAGCGCCCGGGAGCGCTTGGGAGCGCCCGGGAGCGCCTGCCTGGGAGCGCTTGGGAGCGTGCCGGGAGCGTGCCGGGAGCGTGCCGGGAGCGCCTGGGAGCGCCCGGGAGCACCTGGGAGCGCCTGGCAGCGCTTGGGAGCGTGCCGGGAGCATGCCGGGAGCGCTTGGGAGCGCCCGGGAGCACCTGGGAGCGCCTGGCAGCGCTTGGGAGCGTGCCGGGAGCGTGCCGGGAGCGCTTGGGAGCGCCCGGGAGCGTGCCGGGAGCGCCCGGGAGCGCTTGGGAGCGCCGGGGAGCGCGCCGGGAGCGCCCGGGAGCGCCTGCCTGGGAGCGCCTGCAGGGAGCGTGCCGGGAGCGTGCCGGGAGCGTGCCGGGAGCGCCTGGTCCCGCTTGGGAGCCCCTGGGAGCACTGGGAGCGCCTGGGAGCGCCTGGGAGCACCTGGGAGCGCCTGGCAGCGCTTGGGGGCGTGCCGGGAGCGTGCCGGGAGCGCCTGGGAGCGCCCGGGAGCGTGCCGCGAGCTCTCAAGGATGCGCGGTGGGTGGGCAGATGCACATCCTCGCACTCCCGCTACTCCCATCATCCCTCCCATCTTCACTAATCTCACCATCGCCGCCGTGCCCGCGCCCCCGCCATCTCCGCCACCCTCGCCATCAAAAGTTTCGAGGTTCGTTCCTTTGCATTGTCTTTCGCAATGACACCAGTCGAGCTTGCTCAATACGTGGTGTTTTTCGTCTTGAGGGTTTAGGGTTTAGGGTTTAGGGTTTAGGGTTTAGGGTTTAGGGTTTAGGGTTTAGGGTTTAGGGTTTAGGGTTTAGGGTTTAGGGTTTAGGGTTTAGGGTTTAGGGTTTGGGGTTAGGGTTATGGGTTAGGGTTAGGGTTAGGGTTTAGGGTTAGGGTTAGGGTTAGGGTTTAGGGTTTAGGGTTAGGGTTAGGGTTTAGTGTTAGGGATATGGTTTGTGTTGAGGGTTAAGGTTTAGGGTTCAGGGTTTAGGGTTAGGGTTAAGGTTTAGGGTTCGGGTTCGGGTTCGGGTTAAGGGTTAAGGTTTAGGGTTCAGGGTTTAGGGTTAGGGTTAAGGTTTAGGGTTAGGTCATAGGGTTTAGGGTTACGGTTAAGGTTTAGGGTTAGGGTTAGGGCTAGAGTTTAGGGTTAGGGTTAGGGTTAAGGATTAGGGTGTAGGGGTTAGGGTTAGGGTTAGGGTTTAGGGTCAGGGTTTAGGGTGTAGGGTTTTGGGGGTTAGGGTTTAGGGTTAGGGTTAGGGTTTAGGGTTAGGGTTTAGAGTTTAGGGCTAGGGTTTAGGGTTTAGGGTCAGGGTTGGGGTTGAGGTTAGGGTTTAGGGTTAGGGTTAGGGTTTAGGGTTTAGGGTGAGGGGTAGGGTTGGGGTTAGGGTGTAGGGATAGGGTTGAGGGTTAGGGTTAAGGGTTCAGGTTTAGAGCTTAGGTTAGGGCTAGGCTTAGTGTTAGGGTTTGGGGTCAGGGTTAGGTCTACGGTTAGGGTTTAGGCTTCGGGTTAGGGATTGAGGATTAGGGTTCAGGGTTTGGGTTAGAGGTTAGGGGTTCGGGGGGGTCGGGGCGGGAGTGGTAGGGATGGGGTTCCGGAGCCGGGGCGCGAGCCGGGGAAAGGGGGGGGGGGGGGGGGGGGGGGGGGGTTCGCCGACGACGGTTCGGGAGAGGGGGGGGGGGGGGGGGGGTTTCGCCGACGACGGCTCGGGCAAGGGAGGGGGGGGGGGGGGGGGGGGGGTTCGCGACGACGGCTCGGGCAGGCAGGGGGGGGGGGGGGGTTTCGCCGACCACGGCTCGGCTCGGGAAGGGGGGGGGGGGGGGGGGGGTTCGAACCCCCCCCCACGGCGCGGTCGCCAGCGCTGAACCCCCTCGTTTTGGAGCACTGCTTGCCGCACAAGTTTTCGACGTTGCCGTTACCGTTGTCAGTTCTACTCGGCGAGCGTCAACGAGGCGAACCATCGTGACGATATGTTAATGTACTGATGTTCGGCACGACGTTTCCTCGTGTTGTGAATTCATTTTCTGTTGGCGCCGGTGATATGATCAATCTTAAACATACATAAACCGATGCTATGATGTTGAGGACCGTTCTTTCCTAGGGAGGTGGAAGACGTTGGAACGGGACACATGGATCTTCAAACTTCTGTTTGGGGGTCGGACCCTTGGGCGTTTCTGAAGGTATCGATCTCTATTTGGCTGTGGGTGGATTGGACGTGGTGTCGCATTGCGCCAGAGGTGTGTGTGTGTGTGTGCTTGAGTGTTTGTTCGACCTGCCCTCAAGCTCTCCTTACCTCCGTTTCGGCGGAGCTCCCAGCGACCTTTTCCTACATAGCAATCGTGACTCAATGCACTTCGCCTCGCCAAACATTGCCGAACCTGTCACCGATTGCCAGGGTATCCGCCCGTATTGAGGTTCAGCATCGCCATAGTTGCCATCGATGCTCACGCGTCTGGGGGACCTCTCGCAGCCACAGTTGGACGCTGCTCGGAAATCTTAGCAGGATGATGTCTGGGATCATTCGGAGATCCAAATGCCGAGGGGTTCTGCCCGAAAAAAGTAAAATGATCTGGCTGTCTGCGGTAAGTAAGTCTCCCCACCGTGCCAGGCCAGCATATCATTTCGGGTGGCGATTGTGCGAGGGGACACGGGAGGCCGTATCGTATGACACCTCGGGAGCTCCCATGGAACTTGTTTGGGCTGTCTTGGGGCTGTCTCGGCATCCTGTCAGGCAGTCTAGGGGGTCCCTTGGGGCCGTCTTGGGGCCCTCTTGCGCCATCTTGGGGCTTTCTTGGGCCGTCTTGAGGCCCTCTTGGCCTTATGATGGGTATCTGGGAGCCGTCGTGGGGCCGTCTTGGCGCCGTCTTGGTGCCGTCTTGGGCCGCAGAAGGGTCTTATAAGGCTGTTTTGGGTCCCGTTGGAGGCCCTCTAAGGCTGTCTCGGGGTCATCTTGGAACTATCTTGGGAGCCTCTTCGGCCGTCTTGGGGCCATCGCGGAGGCATCTTGGGCCGTCTTGAGCTGACGGAAGCCCGAAAAGGCGAGAATACGAACATCTTACAAAGCCCAAAAGGGAATCAATGATGCTGGCTTCTCCGGGTCTTGTCGGAGGTTTTCCTTTGGCCCCGTGTGCCTCTTGGAGGCATCTTGGTCGTCTTGTGGCCACATTCGGCCGCCGTGAGGCTATCTTGGGCCGTCTTCGAGGCATCGTAGGCCATCTCGGTGTCTCTGCTTGCCTGTACGGCCTCGTTGGGAGCTCGGGACGCGGATCCAGTGGATCCAACGAAATAACGTGGCCTCGGGAGCGCGGACCCACTTGTTTTTTGTGCGAGGGATCGTGGCTTGTGGAGGGGGGGAGGCAGTGCATGCAGAGTTCCGCGGGTGGAGGGGGGAGGCTTTGGCCGAACCCAGAAGGCCTACCATTAAGGGGGAATATTCAAAAATAGTCAAAGAATAGTCGAGGGACTACTTTTTTAGTATTTTTGAACATGTTTTGAGTATTTTTGGCAACGTTTTATTTTGCATCCAAAATCAGCCTGTAGGGGGACACGCCCGACCTCAGCCTACCAGTCAGTGTTTGGCATTCTACGCTTGCAGGAAAAGGCTTTGCATCAACAACGCTCCGACGACAAAGAACCGAATTCCCCCCCCCTCCCCCCCGGCCTTAATATCGGAACGCGTTGCGATCGAGATCTTGGGTTCATTTTTTTTCCGGCCGCTCATATCTGGGACCAATTGCTCAATATTAAGGCCGGGGGGGTGCGGGGGGGTGAAGTGGTCCCCCAACTTTTCATGCACAGTTTTTTCCTTCAACGGTGCCACGCCTCAAAGTGCCATGAGGTACGGCGGCTGAGTTCTTGTGGCGCGAGGGGAAAGACCATAAGCGTGCTCTGCGGACGGGGACTCGGGCAGGAAGAATATACCACGAATGCGATGTGCAGCAAGAAGGCCAACGCCTTTCGTCTCGCTGCCTCATCCTGCACGCGTCATTACATGATTGCTGTTGCTGTCCCCAGTCCCTCCTGCAATCGGACCTTAACACGTGATTCCCCCGACTTTGAATCATCAGCGATGGAAGCGCTTCATCCACCCACGCGTAAAGTACGGTGCAAAGCGTTCCATGGCACAGCTTGTAGAAGTCTCGAATGTCTTGAATGGCGCGTCTCCCGGAACATGTATTCATTACTGTGGGCGCTAGTTGCCCGTCGTGTATCACAACGATGCCATAATATCTGCGCTGGGATACCGCACGGCATGCTACAACGTGTTAGTAATATGGTAACCGTATCGGTCAAGCAGTCATGCGGGCAAGAATAATTCGAAGTGCCGCGAAGTCCTTGGACACGTTCCTGGTCCAACTAACTACAACTATAGTGTTAAGCCAGGGCGTAACCATTCCGCAACGCGATCCTCGGAAGTTGTTTTTATTGTTCAAACCATGTTCAACGGTCTGCAGGGAGAGCTCTCAGAAAATACTTCATCTGTTTGCTGCTCCGCGAGACTCTAAAGTCCATGCCCGATACATCCTTTCCCAGCGACGCACTCCTATTCTCCTCCCAGCTTCCCACCGCAGTCCTCTACCCCTCTCACTCTTCCATTCGTACTTCCTTCTTCTCCCCCATCCCCCTTCTCCATTTCCTCCCTTCGTACCTCCCTCTCCTCCCCCATCCATGATGTCCCCCTCTCGCTCTCGCCATACCCCCACTCCCCTCTTCCGCTACCTCCCTCTCTCACTCCCTCCCTCCCTCCCTCCTGCTCCTCCTGCTCCTCGTGCTCCTCCTCCTCCTCCTCCTCCTTCTCCTCCTCCTCCTCCTCCTCCTCCTCCTCCTCCTCCCCCTGCTCCTCCTCATCTTCCTCCTTCTCTCCCGTAGCTATTTTGGCTCAAGTGGCCTTCAGCCAGCCGGGTCGCCTGACACGCCGCCCTGCCGTCCAACGCAATGGTGGTGGACCCGGTCGACTACACGGCGGAGAAGGTTACGGCCGTGGCCGCAGGCAAGCAGAGGGCGGAGGCGTACGATATCTACAACGATTTTCCGAAGTTGGGCAACAAGCACACGTATACGCCGACCAGCATTTTGGTCACGGGCGTCGCGGGGTTTATTGCATCGCACGTGGCTATCCGACAAGGTTGGATACGCCTCCAGCGATAAAAACGTGACAGAGCCGCTAACAAAGTGTTCTAACTTCGCTTCGTCAAGGCCAACATGTGCGACTACCCGTTGATGCTGAAGATCATGCAGGAGGAGAAAATCGACTCTGTTATGCACCTGGCAGCGCAGTCTCACGTGGACCTGTCGTTCAAGGAGGGAGGACAGCCCCATGAGCCCGAACAACCCATGCGCTGCGTCCAGGGCCGGCGCAGACTTGTTGGCGCAGTCCTTTCACAGGGTTTTCATTATGCCCATCGACATCACTCGGGGCAACAACGTCTATACAGGCCGCACCAGTTCTACGAGAAGGTGTTGCCGAAGTTCATCGCGCAGCTGAAGTCCGGAGGCCAGATCATGGTCCACCGCAGCGGCAGTAATGCACGTGCAGGTCACGGCCAGTGGATTCGATTGCATCTTGCACTCCGGCGTGGTGGGCGAAGCCTACAATATCGGTGGCAAGAACGAGAAGACCGTCGTAGAGGTTGCGGCCGACGTTCTTTTGACCCTCAGACTGGAGAAGAAGCGGAGCGAGCTGGTAAAGTACATTGCGGACCGCGCCCGCAACGACGCTTGCTACCCGATCACCATCGGAAAGCTGTGCTCGCTGGGCTGGCACGAGGAGCACAGCTGGAGGTTTGGACTGGCAAACACTGTCGCCTGGTTCCTGCAGAAGCTGCAGTCTGAGACGCGTGACATCACCAAGGTCATCAGCGCGCACCCGAACCACATCGCCACCGACGCCTCACAGCCGGTGTCGAAACTGTCTGCTGGCTTCCGTGCACTTTCCGAGATTCCCCTCGGATGGCCTCTTTTCTCTCGGTTTCCCCTTCCTTTCCTTGTGGACGACGATCAATGGAGAGGAAGCATGCTGCCAAATAATTTCCAGATTTCTAAGCAATATTTTAGCACGTTTGAGAATGTAAAAAAACATATTGAAACCATTTCCCGAACAGCTTTCGACATGTTCAACACAATATTATTCAACGACAGGATTGTCAGGGTGCCCATTGTCATGGCATCCACAGTCCTGTCGTTCCAGTCCATGCTCTGCCCCTCCCTCCACCCCCCCTCTTGCGCGCCGCCGAGCCTTCTGCGATGAGGCCGCCGACGCCGCAGCGGCGAGCCGCCGGCGCGAGCGGCCGGCGCGATCGGTCGGCCAGTGGGGCCGCCCGTCGCTTCCGCGGTGTCGTGCAGCAGAGGGTGCTTCTGATTTAGATCGTGGCGAGAGGATCGGAGGTGTTCGTCCTAGGAGTGTGCCCAGGAGGTGTGATGGCCAGGCTTTTCGGTTGGGGGCTTCCCGAACCCGCCATATAGCAACGTATCGCTCATCTTCCGCCTTCTCCTCCTCACTCCTCCTCACTCCTCCTCCTTCTCCTCCTCCTCCTCCTCCTCCTCCTCCTCCTCCTCCTCATCCTTCTCCTCCCCCTCCTCCTTTTCCTGCTTCTCTCCCTCGCCTCACTTCCCCCCGCCCCTCCTCGTTCCCTCTGGCTCTCCTTCTCTGACCTTCGCCCTCCCCTGCCCCTCTTCCCTGGTTGCGGACCGGTGCTTCTGCCATGTGGCCGACTGGGCTGCAGACCCCCAATGCCGCGCTCATTCACAGGGTTGTTGCCGCGACGCCCGCGTGTTCGCGTGGAGAGAGTGAGAGGATGAAGAAGGACGGGAAGGGGAAGAGGAGAACGAGAAGGGGAAGAAGGGGCAGGAGAAGGAACAGGAAAAGGAGGAGGAGGAGGGATTATGGAGGAGGGGCATGACGGAGGAAGATGGAGGATGGACGACGGTGGATGAAGGAAGAGGATGGAGGATGACGATGATGATGATGATGATGATGATGATGATGATGATGATGATGATGAGGAGGAGGAGGAGGAGGAGGAGGAGGAGGAGGAGGAGGAGGAGGAGGAGGAGAAGGAGGACGGGGGGCGCCGAAGGGAAAAGAAGCAGGAGGGGGCGCGCCCGAGAGAGAGAGAGAGCGTCGTCGACAAAGTGGCGGGATCCAGGCATGCATCTTGCTCGAACGAATCGAGCAGGACGACGTCGGGAGGGAGAGAGAGAGAGAAAGAGAGAGAGAGAGAGAAGGAGCGAGAGCGAGAGAGAGAGAGAGAGAGCGTTAACTATAAAGTGAGAACAGAGAGCGGATGGATTCGGTTTGTGTTCGGGATTCGGTTTTCTGCTACGTATGGGGCCAACGGGACCTGGCGGACAGCGACGACGACGACGACGAGGGCGACGAGGACGAGGGGGAGGAGGAAGAAAACGACGACGAGGGGGCGGAGGGACAGCACCCCCATCCGTCCTATCGGCCCAAGCCAAGAGCAAGGGCAGAAGAAAGGAACGCATCGGAGTCACATTCGAACCATATTGACACAATCTTGGGGTCGTCAACTAGGGTTTAAAAGGGGTCATCTGGGGGCAATCTCGAGGTCGTCTTGGGCTCATGAGGTCGTCCCAGGGCCACCTAACATCGGGGTCACGCGGTAGCCTGAGTCAGTCGGAAGACAGTGGGTTCGTCCCGGTGTTTTTGGGGGGCCGCAGGGTCGCTCTGGGGTCATATTGGAGCCATTGCTTAGCAGGGGTGGGCATCTTGGGGCAACAGGGGTAATCTCGTGATCCTTTCAAAACCCTGTTGGGTCAACCTTGGAATCATCTTTCCGTTGCTGCCTCTCTCGTTGCTGTTGCTACTGATGTTGCTGTTGTTGCTGGCGTCGATGCTGCTGGTGCTGCCTGGGCTGCCCGTGGTGCTGGTGCTGCTGCTGTGTAAAATTTCGGGCCCTCTTGGAGCCATCTTGGGGGCCTTCTGGGCCTCTTGGGGCCCTGCGGGAGCCCTCTGACGGCCCTTGAGAGGCTTCCGAGAGGGCCAAGAATTCAACACACATTTAATACAAACCGCCTCCTTATTGGATAGCGTTTTGTGTTAAATTTGTGTTGAAAATTGGGTCATCTTGGAGCCATCTTGGGGCCCTCCTGGGGCCCTCCTGGAGCCCTCGAAGGGCCCTAAGAGACCTCCAAGAGGGCCAATATTTCAACGCACATGTAAGACAAACCGCTTCTTCATTGGAGAGCGTATCGTGTCAAGTTTGTGTTAAATTCCGGGCTCTCTTAGAAAACCCTAATAAAGGCCCAAGAGAGATTCAATAAGGTCGCAAGAGAGGGCGTTTTTTAGCTTCGTCGCGGGGGGGTCACCATGTATCCGCTCTTTGTACAACTGCTTCCAATGCGGGGCTCGGCTTGAGGCTCGGAAGGCCTTCAGGAGGGTTCCAGCCTGAGGTATCTAAAGACTTCGCGTGAGCTTCGAGTGCGATTGCGCTGCTCCAAGAGCGCTCCAAGACGCTCGCAATGGCTTCAAGACGGCCAAAGAGACCTTACAGACGCCCCCGGGGGCTCCAAGAGGACCCCCCAGGGGCCTCAAGAGACCCAAATCACAGTTCTTTAATTGTTACTGAAGGATTTTAGCGTTCTCGGTTTTTCGGGGTTCCAACGTTCCATGGAGAGCCAAGAGGCCACCAGGATCGGCCCAAGACGGCCCAAGAGGCCCCCGAAGAGGGCCCCAAGACGACCCACGAGGGCACCAAGACGACCCATCAGACAGTGATGAGGCCCATAACGCGGCCCAAGAGGCCCCCAGGCCGGCCCCAAGAGGGGACCCAGGGGGCCACCGGAACTCAGGTTGTGAGATTTTGTCCATCAGGATCGCCTTTTGTGAAGCGGCGTGGGGGCATGCGGAGAGCCTTCGCAAGTAGACGCGGCGCCGGGGTCACCATGTATCCGAAAGAATTCGTCAATTTCTGAGACGATTGACAGGGGTCTATTGGGCGCCTCTTGAGATATGTTGATGCTTCTTGGGGGTTTCTTAGGGCGTCTTGGGGGGGCCCTTCGGGAGCCTCTTGGGGGCTTGCTGGGCCCCCGAGAAGACTCCAAGAGGGTTCCGAAAAAAGTCGGGGCCACCCGGAAATGCTGCAAAACCACTTCCGGGTGACCCGGAGACCTCTCGGGGCCCTCTGGGAGCTCTCTTTGGGGAAGACGGCTTGGGATCGCTCATGGAGGCCCAAGAGGGCCCCGAGGAAACTCCAAGAGGGTTCCGAAGAGTCTCCGGGTCACCCAGAGATGCTGCAGCACCATCTCTGGGTGACCCGGAGACCTCTCGCGTGGCCCTCTTGGAGCTTTCACGGGGGTTCTCCTATACGGCAAGGGGGGGGGGCGGCTTCTTCGGGCCTGATGGGGGCCTCTCGGGCGCCTCTTGAGGTCTGTTGGGGTTTCTTGGGAACCTCTAAGTGCCTCTTGGGGGTCCTCTTGAACCCTTGAAGCGTCTTCTCGGGCTTGTCTTGGCACCCACTCGGGGACCGAGATGCGAGATTGTTATTTTTGTTGCTGCTGTTGTTGTTGCTGCTGCTGTTGTTGTACTTGGTGTGCATGCTTTAGTAGTAGTAGTAGTAGACGTAGAAGTAGTCGTAGTTGTAGTCGTCGTCGCCGTCGTCGTCGTCGTCGTCGTAGTAGTAGTAGTAGGAGTAGTAGTAGTAGTAGTAGTAGTAGTAGTCGTAGTCGTAGTCGTAGTCGTAGTCGTAGTCGTAGTCGTAGTCGTAGTGGTAGTAGTAGTAGTAGTAGTAGTAGTAGTAGTAGTAGTAGTAGTAATTAGAATCAAAGTAGTAGTCGTAGTCGTAGTCCCAGTCCTAGTCCTAGTCCTAGTCCTAGTCGTAGTCGTAGTCGTAGTCGTAGTCGTAGTCGTAGTTGTAGTCGTCGTAGTAGTAGTAGTAGTAGTAGTAGTAGTAGTAGTAGTAGCAGTAGTAGTAGTAGTAGTAGTAGCAGAAGTAGTAGAAGAAGTAGAAGTAGAAATAGTAGTAGTAGTCATAGTAGTAGTAGTAGTAGTAGTACTGCTACTAGTACTAGTACTAGTACAAGTAGTAGTAGTAGTAGTAGTAGTAGTAGTAGTAGTAGTAGTCGTCGTAGTAGTCGCAGTAGTAGTAGTAGTAGTAGTAGTCGTAGTCGTAGTCGTAGTCGTAGTAGTAGTAGTAGTAGTAGTAGTAGTAGTAGTAGTAGTAGTAGTAGTAGTAGTAGTAGTCGTATAGTAGTAGTAGTAGTAGTAGTAGTAGTAGTAGTAGTAGTAGTAGTAGTAGTAGTCGTAGTAGTAGTAGTAGTAGTAGTAGTAGTAGTAGTAGTAGTAGTAGTAGTAGTAGTAGTAGTAGTAGTAGTAGTAGTAGTAGTAGTAGTAGTCGTAGTAGTCGTAGTAGTAGTAGTAGTAGTAGTAGTAGTAGTAGTAGTAGTAGTAGTAGTAGTAGTAGTAGTAGTAGTTAGTAGTAGTAGTAGTAGTAGTAGTAGTAGTAGTAGTAGTAGTAGTAGTAGTAGTAGTAGTAGTAGTAGTAGTAGTAGTAGTAGTAGTAGTAGTAGTAGTAGTAGTAGTAGTAGTAGTAGTAGTAGTAGTAGTAGTAGTAGTAGTAGTAGTAGTAGTAGTAGTAGTAGTAGTAGTAGTAGTAGTAGTAGTAGTAGTAGTAGTAGTAGTAGTAGTAGTAATAGTCGTAGTAGTAGTAGTAGTAGTAGTAGTAGTAGTAGTAGTAGTAGTAGTAGTAGTAGTAGTGGTCGTAATAGTAGTAGTAGTAGTAGTAGTAGTAGTAGTAGTAGTAGTAGTTGCTGTTGTTGTTGTAGTTGTACTTGTAGTTGTGGTATTTGTAGCCGTAGTAGTAGTCGTTGTCGTCATCGTCGTCATCGTGGTCTTCGTTGTTGTTGTGGCTGTTGTTTGTTGCTGCTGGTTTGTTGTTGTTGCCGATGGTGTTGCTGTTGTCGTTGTTGTCGTTTGTTGTTGCGGTTCGCTGTCGTGCTATGTATAGTCCATTTTAAGGGTAGACGCGCACGCCATTGCACCAGACCGAGTGTACCACGCAATTTGCGCACCACATATTTTCCACCACGTAGATTGCACCACGTCGACTGCGACTCATACATGCCACAACATGCATTGCACCGTTTAGGTTGCACCACGTCGATTGCGCCCAACCAGTTGTGCACCATAGATTGCTAGCCATGTTTGGTGGACGCGAATGGCCTGATCCCTGGTTTCTGATCCCCGGAATGGAACGCGACCCCTGTCGGAGCGGGTGTTTCCAACACGAATCATCACATGTTTGGGCGGCGAAAACAGCCTGATCCTTGGTATCTGATCCCAGGAATGGAACGCGATCCCTGTCGGAACGTGCTGTTCCAGTAGAAGCCATCGCGTGTTCGGGCGGCGAGAATTGCCTAGTGGTGGTTCACGTGGATAGCAAAGCCTAGTGGTGGTTCACGTGGATAGCAAAGGGCGCGCGCGTTCCGACAGGGATCGCGTTCCATTCCGGGGATCAGATACTAGGGATAAGGCACCTTTCGCCGCCCGAACATGCGATGGCTTCGACTGGAACCGCCCGTTCCGACAGGGATCGCATTCCATTCCGGGGATCAGATACCAAGGATCAGGCTGTTTTCGCCGCCCAAACATGTGATGACTTGTATTGGAACCACCCGTTCCGACAGGGATCGCGTTCCATTCCGGGGATCAGAAACTAGGGATCAGGCTTGTCTCGCCGCTCAAATATGCGATGATTTGAATTGGAACCGCCCGTTCCGACAGGGATCGCGTTCCATTCCGGGAATCAGAAACCAGGGATCAGGCCATTCTCGCCCTCCAAACATGCGATGATGCAACCCCAATGGTGCAATGCATGTTGTGGTATATATGTGGGGCAGTCTACGTGGTGCAACCTAAGTGGTGCAAAAGATGTGGTGTTGCGCAAACTACGTGGTACGTCTTGTACAATATATATGGTGCCATGTGTGTTCTTGTTTGATGGCGTGCGCGTCTACACGTGAAATCACGGCGTATAGCACGACAGCGAACCGCAACTACCAACGACAACAACGACGTCAACAGCAACAGCAACAGCAATAACAACAACAGCAACAGCAACAGCAATAACAACACCAACACCACGAAACATCACCAGTAACTAACACGAGCAACCGCAGCAACAGCAGCAACAACAACATCAACAACATCATCAACAATAACAACATCAACAACAGCAACAACGACAACAACAATAGCAGCAGCAACAACAGCAACTACAACTACAACAAACGACAACAACGACGACAAGAGCAGCAACAACTACAGCTACAACTACAACGACACATGCAACAACTACAACAACACCAGCAGCAACAACAACAGTAGAAATAACAACATCGCTTCTCGGCCCCCGAGAGGGTACCCAGGAAGTCCTGAGAGGCCCCCAAGAAATCCCAACTGACCTCAAAGGCGCCCGATAGGCCCCCGTCAGGCCACCAGAAGCCGCCCCCTCCTCCGCGTCCGCATCTCCAGGAGATCCCCCCCACCCTTCCGCCCTCCCCACCACCGTCTTGGAGCCCCCAAGAAAGCTCCAAGAGGTCCCCGAGAGGTCTCCGGCACACCCGGAGATGGTGCTACAGCATCTCCAGGTGGCACGGAGGGAGTCTTTTGGGGATTTCTTGGAGTTTTCTCGGGGCCCTGTTGGGGCTCCTTTTTGGGGCTCCTTGAGCGCTCCCAAATCGTCCTGGAGCCCCCCAAGAGAGCTCCAAGAAGGCCCCGAGAGGTCTCCAGGCCACCCAAGAGACTCGGCGATCGTCTCAGACATGTACGAATTCGTACAATGTTCGGATACATGGTGACCCAGGCGCCGCGTCTACTTGCGAAGGTTCTCCGCATGCCCCCACGCCGCTTCACAAGAGTTCCGGTGGCCCCCTGGGTCCCTTCTTGGGGCCGTCCTGGGGGCTATTTGGGTTGCATTGTGGGCCTCATGGGTCGTCTCGGTGCCATCTTGGGTCGTCTTGGATCCCTCTTCGGTGGCCTCTTAGGCCGTCTTGGGGCGATCCTGGCGGCCTCTGGGGCCGTCTTTGAGCATTGGAGAGAGAGAACGCTAAAATCCGCCAGAAAACCAAAAGAAAAACTATGGTTCTGGCCTCGTGCAGCCCCGTCTTGGAGCAGCGCAATCGCACTCGAAGCTCACGCGAAGTCTTTGAATACCTCCGGTTGGAACCCTCCTGAAGGCCTTCCGAGCCTCAAGCCGAGCCCTGCAAGAGGAAGCATTTGTCCAAACAGCGGATACTCTGTGACCCCCCCGCGTGGAAGCTAAACAAAAATCACTTGTGGGGCCGTCTTGGGTCTCTTGTGGGCCTTCGTGGGGTTCTACTGAGAGGGTACGAAATTTAACAGAAGTTTAGCACAATACGCGCTCCAATAAGAAGGCGGTTTGTCTTAAATGTGTGTCGAATTGTTGGCCCTCCTGGAGGCCTCTTAAAGGCCCTCAGAGGGCTCCCGCAGGGGCCCAAGAGGGCCCAGGAGGGCCCCAAGATGGCTCCAAGAGGGCCGATCATTTTTCACACCAGTTTAACACAAGACGCTCTCCAATAAGGAGGCACTTAGTGTTAAGTGTGCGTTGAATTCTTGGCCCCCTCGGTAGCGCCTTAAGGGCCTTCAGAAGGCCACCGCAGGGACCCAAGAGGCCCACGAGGGCCACAAGAGGGCCCCAAGAAGGCTCCAAGAGGGCCCGAAATTTAGCACAGCACCAGCACCAGCACCACGGGCAGCCCAGGCAGCACCAGCATCATCAACGCCAGCAGTAACAGCTACATCCGTAGCAACAACAACGAGAGAGGCAGCAACGGAAAGATGATCCCAGGATGGACCCAACAGGGGTCTTGGAAAGGATCACGAGATTACGCCTGTCGCCCCAAGATGCCCATCCCTGCTAAGCAATGGCCCCAATGGGACCGAAGAGCACCCCTGTGGCCCAAGAGAACACCGAGACGGACCCATTGTCTTCCGACTGAACTAAGGCTACTGCACGACCCCGATTTTACTCCGAGGTGGCCCCAGAACGACCCCATGAGTCCGAGACGACTTCGAGATTGCCCCAATATGACCTTTTTGAACCCTATTTGACCCAAACATTGTGTCAATATGATTCGAATGTGACTCCGATGCGTTTCTTCCTTCTCCCCTTGCTCTTGGCTTGGGCCGATAGGACGGATGGGGGTGCTGGCCCTCCACCCCCTCGTCGTCGACTTCTTCCTCCTCCCCCTCGTCCTCGTCGCCCTCGTCGTCGTCGTCGTCGCTGTCCGCCTGGCCCCCTGGGCCCCATACATAGCAGAAAACCGAATCCCGAACACAAGCCGAATCCATCCATTCTCTGATGAGTTTACCTGTATCAGTAAATATATCGATGTGAAGCACAGATCATTTTTGTTTGTTCTCTCTCTCTCTCTCTCTCTCTCTCTTGTTTATTGAATAAACAAGAGAGGGAGAGAGACTCATGGGGGGCGAACGAACGTGCCTGGAGAGACAGACGGGGCAGAATGCGCGACGAGGGCAGTGGCCGGGGAGGGGATGGGTGGGCGCATTGGGAGCCCCTTGGGAGGCGGCCAAAGCATGAGGGGGCGTGCGGGGACATGTGGAGGGACAGGACGAGGGTATGTGGAAGTCTGACGGGGGGAAGGAAGAAAGACATGCGAAGAAGGGAAGGAGGACGAAAAGGAGGAGGAGGAGGATGAGGGGAGCAGAAGCGGGAGGGGCAGGCGGGGGGAGGAGTTCGAAGGTGAGTGGAATGGGGATGGGGCGCGAGGGAAAGGCAGCGAGGTGAGGGTTGCCTGCAGAAGCGTGACCAGTGAGGGTGTGGGGACGTTGGCAGGGAAATTCGTTGGTGGCGGCAAGCATGAAATTATGTCCCACGTTCCGCTCTTCGAGTTTGGAGAAGGATCGGCGGGCGGGACTTGTTGCAAAGCTGCGCGTGTCAATTGACAAGCCGCCCCTTCTAGTTTGCGCCCAGCCTTTCTACAGTAGCTCCCAGGAATCTCGATGAGCTTCGAAGCCTCATGCGAGGGCGTGGGATCTCACTTGTATGGCGGTGGAAATCTTGTCCAGGTTTCTGACATTAGCGTTCTCTTGATCGTAGTTTTGATGTTGTGATGGCGGGGGGAGAAAGGTAGGACTAGCAGCGATCGGAAGGGAGCTTCTCTTGCCCGCTGCCAGAATTGCGTGAACCCCATCTTCCCTGGCCTGGAGGAGCTGCACCACCTGAGCGAGGCCGCTGCAGAAATCGCAGGTCACAAAATCACGAGCGCGTTAAACAAGAAGTTGTGAATGCAGATTGGGGTCTGGCCGCCAGGGGTCTACTTGCAGGTCGCCCGCTCCTGCTCTCCCGGTTGGGCCAGGAACACATCTTCCGAGTCGGGGTTCCATCTTGTTCCTCGTACTGCCCTCAACGTACAGCTGAGCCATTTGTCGTTCGATTGCTTTGTTTCATGGGCGACATGTTGAGGTATCCTTCGTTCGCTTCCCGGCCCTGCTGGCACAGACTTGCAGGTCTCGAGGGGTTCTCGTTGGAGGACCTTTGTCTGAGCGAGCCCGATGTCCCCATGAGAACACGGGCGCGGGGTCCCACTCGCAGTGCTGTTCGTGCACTCGCATATCACTTGGCTGGCTCGTGGTAGAACTCTCCAGCGACTGGGCGACACGAATTCGGCAGGCTTATCCTGATGACCCCCCTCAGCGCTTGCCCCCTCAGCGCCGATCAATGCCGACACCCAGCAGCGTTGCTGGTGTACTCGTGCTCAGATGCTCTCGGTGGGGGGCGGCGGCAGAATTCCTTGTCGCTTCGGTAATTTGGAGGACCCATCCTGGCGACCTCACCCTCGACTGAATTCCCCTAGAACTTGCGTGCAACTCAGATAAATGATAATATCATTTCCTCGAAACAAAATACATCAGTTTCAAGAACATGATGTTGAGGAGTTTAGCGTCGGTGGTATTTAAGAGTCTTTCGCCGGCCCCGAGACGGCATTCTACCGACTTGGTGGCGATCCGGGTAGTCTTTTCCCACACCTACTACATTCGAGTTAGCATTGCTGCTGGTACGATTTATCGGAAACGCACACACGCGCACACGCACGCGCACGTGTACGCGCTCAGGCTCGGAATCGGGATCGGACTCAAGCTCGCGTTCGGTCTCGGTCGGGCTCGGGGTCGGGCTCGTGCTCGGGCTTGCGCTCGCGACCGAGCCTGCGCACGTGCGCGCACGTGCACACGCACGCACGCACAGGCGAACGAACACGCACACACACACACACATACATATACACACACGCACACACACATACACACACACTCACAGACAAATACATACACACGCACACACACACACACACACATCCACGCACACACACACAAATGCACGCACGCACGCACGCACGCAAGCACACACACACACTCACACACCCGCACACACACTTTTTGATTCGCGGGTCAAGTGCGCACCGCCCGCACACACACAAACACACAAACACACAAACACACAAACACACACAAACACACACACACACACATCCACACATTCACACATTCACACATTCACACATTCACACAGTCACACATTCACACACACACACGCGCACGCACACGCACACGCATGCGCACGCGCACACGCACACGCACACGTACACGCACACGCACACGCACACGCACACGCACACGCACACGCATGCGCAGACGCACGCGCACGCGCACGCGCACGCGCACGCGCACGCGCACACACGCACGCGCACGCGCACACACGCACGCATGGGCACGCACGCGCGTGCGCACGCGCTCAGGATCGGGCTGCTCGGGCTGCTCGGCTGCTCGGGCTTGTGCTTCCCCAGGCAGAAGATGAATCCAAACCGTGAGTGGAAATTCGCTTAACCGTGAGTGGAAGATCGCTTAACCGTGAGTGATTGAGTGCACGCTGTGAGTGCACGCTGTGTTGAGTGTACGCTGTGAGTGTACGCTGTGAGTGCGCGCTGTGAGTGTACGCTGTGAGCCCACGATATGAGCCCACGCTGTTAGTGCTCGCTGTGTTGAGCCCACGCTGTGAGTGTGAGCCCACGCTGTGAGTGCACGCTGTGTTGAGCCCACGCTGTGAGTGCACGCTGTGAGTGCACGCTGTGTTGAGCCCACGCTGTGAGCGCACGCTGTGTTGAGCCCATGCTGTGAGTGCACGCTCTGCTGAGCCCACGCTGTGAGCCCACGCTGTGAGTGCACGCTGTGGGCCCACGCTGTGAGCCCACGCTGCGAGCCCACGCTGCGAGCCCATGCTGCGAGCCCACGCTGCGAGCCCACGCTTCGAGCCCGCGCTGCGAGCCCACGCTGCGAGCCCACGCTGCTGAGCCCACGCTGCGAGCCCACGCTGCAAGCCCACGCTGCGAGCCCACGCTGTGAGCCCACGCTGTGGGCCCACGCTGTGGGCCCACGCAACGCACCACACGCAACTCACCACACGCAACACACCACGCGCAACACACCACACGCAACACACCACACGCAACACACCACACGCAACACACCACACGCAACACACCACACGCAACACACCACGCGCAACACACCACCACACGCAACATATCACGCGCAACACACCACGCGCAGCACACCACACGCCACACACACGACACGCAACACACCGCGCGCAACGCACCACACGCAACGCACCACACGCAACACACCACACGCCACACACACCACACGCAACACACCACACGCAACACACCACACACCACACACATACACTCTTCACGCAACAGCACACGCAATACATCACATGTCACACACCACACGCAACACACCACACGCACACACGACACGCAACATTCCGCAAGCAACACTCCACACGCAACACACCACACGCAACACACCACATTCAACACACCACCCGCAATACACCACACACAACACACGACACACAACACACCACACGCCACACACCACCCCCCACATCACACGCACACACCACCCACCACCACCCACCACAGACCTCCCACCACGCACCACACAGCACCCACCACGCATCACACACCACATACCACACACCATACACCACACACCGCCCACCGCACACCGCACACCACACGCCGCACACCGCACAACACCCACCACGCGCACACGCACACACATACACACACCCACCACCCCACCACCACAACCACCACCACCGCCAACGATATCGCCACACCAACGCCACCACCACCACCACAATCACTGCCACCACCACTCCCACCACCACCACCACCACCACCACCACCACACACAAACGCACGCACACACACCACAGAGGAAATCACTCTCGGACCGCGCGGAGAAATCCAGCGCGTAAGCAATTCGAGATTCCGTCGGGCCCACAGCGTGCACTCACAGCGTGCGCTCACGGTCTTTCTCACCGGGTGGCGCGCAGCGTGCGCTCACAGCGTGCACTCACAGCGTGCATTCACAGCGTGATTGGCCCACGCTGCTGTGCGTGCCCGCCGTGGTGAGACCACGCTGTGAGCCCACGCTGTGAGCCCACGCTCTGAGTCCACGCTGTGAGCCCACGCTGTGAGTCCACGCTGCGCTCCCACGCTGCGAGCCCACGTTGTAAGCCCACTCTGTGAGCCCACGCTGTGAGTGCACGCTGCGAGCGCACGCTGCGAGCGCAGGCTTGCGAGCGCGCTCATCAGCTCAGCGAGCCCTCGACGCCGCGTGCACTCACAGCGCGCACTCGCAGCGTGCACTTACAGCGTGCGCTCACCGCAGCGTGCACTCACAGCGTGCACTCACCACAGCGTGCACTCACAGCGTGTATTCACCAGTGCGTGGGCTCACAGCGTGCACTCACAGCGTGCGCTCACCACAGCCTGCACTCACAGCGTGCACTCACAGCGTGCACTCAATCACTCACGGTTAAGAGCAAAGCTACTCACGGTTAGGACCTATTCTCTCCCAGGCATGCGCGCGCACGTGCACGCACGCACGCACACGCGCACGCGAGTTGCCCCCCTCTGGGAGAGAGGCGTGATTACAATGCTAGGACCCTCACCCCTGGGCCCGGGGCCCCGCCGCATCCCTCTCCTTCTGCCCTGAAGCTTGGAATGCGCATGCGACCACAAATCGACCCCCGTATCTAGCACGGTTTTGTTGGTAAGTTTGGTGGCCGACTTGGGGTCGCTGGGATGTGCATTTTCGGTTACTTTGCCCAGCTGTGCGAGAACACCTTTGCGCCCCTGGCATGATAGTATGTTTCGAGTTCTTCGAACTTGCCAGACCTTTGTATTTCACATGTTTGCTCACTTCCAAGAGTGCTGCGCGGCGTGGAGCCTTGCCGTCTAGTGGCATTCGGTCCGTCTCGCCACCGCGCCGGGCTCGTGGACCAGAGGCCTCTCAGAGGTTTTGCTTTGATTCGGGAGGCCTCCAGGAAATTGATTGGGTCTTCTTGGAAGTCTATTGGGGCCTCTTGGGGTCCTCTGGGGTGCAGCGTTTTCAGAAGGGTTCGGGTTTATTCCATGTTGGATCCTCTTGGGGCCGTCTCGTGGTCCTCTTGGGCCCTCTTGGGGGCCTCAGCGGCCGTCTGGGAACGATTTCGGAGGCCTACTGGGCCGTCCTGGACGCCCCCCGTACCGAGCAGCTGAGATGCTACGGCAACATATGGGCGGTTTTCCCGCGGACGCCTGTTGGAACAGTTGATGTTTAAAGCCCCAAGTGGGGTGAGGTTCCAGCGGCCGATTTTTTCCAAGGGAAGTGGTTGCAGCAACTTGTGCCGACGACAAGGGTTTGCTCCAGCTCCCAATTTCTACGAGGGGCAGCGGTTCCAGCTCCCCACGGAGGGGTGTCCAGCGCCCAGATTCTGATCAGGAAGAGCCGTTCAAGCAGCTTCTGCCGACAAGGAGGGTGGGCTGCCGCTTGACAGGGCAGCTCGAGCGACTCGCGCCCCGCGCCGCGAACGCACCCTCAGCCCGTTAAATTTTCAGTCGCGAAAGATTAGCCCAACTGTAAGGAGTTTTGAAGACTCCAGTGCTGACCGCAGTGGCGATGTGACTCGCGGTAGCGAAAAGGAGATCCGACGTGCCCGAGGAGATTCCGTGTACAGACAGTCGACCTGTTGCCAGAAATGGCGTACGGCCCAGCAACAAGACATCGCGCTTCTCGGGCGAGGGTCTGGATCCCTTATGCAGCTTCTGAGTGTAGAGCGAGACAATGTGCAAGTGCGGACGCCTACCAACCACTTCGAGGAAATTCGCAAAATCGTATCGTGATGTCTTGAATCAAGTTCATATCGATGTAGGGGACGTTACGGTTGTCAGAGAAGAGCGACCATATTGAACGATTGAATGCTTCGGATCGTGCGACTGTATTTCTACGTGTCCGAATGCGTACGTAACAATCCAAACCAACAAACACATACTTTGTGAGGTCCATACGGATCCCTTAGGCCGGCGCTGGATCTCCCTGGCGGCGTCTCCAGTGCCGCACCTGGCGCCCTTCGGCCGACCCAACAAATCCGCACGGACCTCCGAGAGTTGATCCTTCCGTTCTTTTCTTCAAACATGCACCATGGCAAGGATGCAGAACTTCATCATGCCGGCCGTACTCCCAGGAGCATCCTTGCGGCGGGTAGCATCCTTGATCTTCGCGGTGCGGGTTTTCCTTTGGGATAGAGACCCCATGATGCGGAAAGTGCGGGGTACATCTCCACATCTTTGAGCGCATAGCCCACCACGTTCGCAGGATGACGTGGGTCTAGGGATGCAGCCCAAGGAGGTTGCCCTTGCGCATCCTTCCACGGGACGTACCCTGCGGCGCCTTTGCGCGCTGAGGCGCCTTACGTCGTTAGCGAATTGTTGCTGCGACTCAGCACTGCTGGCGCAGCACGGACCGTCGTTCGATTGCGCGCAATGTCTTGGCTCCACGAATTTGCAAGGGTAGATGGAAGCGGCACGTCAAGATTTGTGTATTGATCTCGCCGAAGCTGAGCCGTGGGGGGTATTTGGGCTGTGGACGTATTGTTTTTATGTGTGCCCCCGCGTGATTTCGGACAGAGGTACTTTCACGTGCCGATTTGCTGTCGCTGCACTGGCCGTGTTTTATAAGACTTTCCGTTCGGTGAAAGGCCCCTTGGCAGTGCTCCAACCTCCGGTCCGCGTCGCCGTACATGAGTTTCTGTCGCAACGCCCTCAACTACGACCCGGACGGGGGGATGCCGCTATTGCGTATTCGTCTTTACATGTTTGTTTATTTGGTCTGTGGATGGCCTTGTGCGTACGTCGAATGATTTACCAGACTGGACTTCAGCCCAACGTGCACCTGGCATGTGGACTCAGCATGGGTATGCTGCGCGTGTCTGCGCGAATGTATGCTTCACGGTGCGCTAGTAGATGTGTATGTGTGCTAGCCATCGCACGCGTGCCAGCGCACCGTCTTCATTTGCAGGCCTTTTGCCGTCGCAGGTAACATCCTCCCCCTCCTTTTTGTCCTGCTGGCCCTGGACCACACAGAACATACGAATGTACTCCTACAGGCCCTCCGGCCGAAGCCCTACACGCCGCCACGCTGGTCCTAGGCAGGCTGTGCTGCCCAGGACCCTCCTCTCCCCGTCCGCCTCGTCATCTCCTCTCCTCGCGCGCCTTCTTCGGTCCCCCCTTCTGGGCCGGGAGGCGCTGCCAGAGAAGTCGGACAGCTTCCCAGGGCTTCGCGAGCAGGTGAAGAGACAGGACCGAAGAGGGCAGGACAGGGGAGGGAGTGCGAGGCAGGGAGGAAGCAGGTGAGGGGAAAGGGGCGAGGAGGAAGAGTAGGGCGAAAATGAAAGGCGAGGATGGGGTGGAGGAAGGAGGAGGAGGAGCAAGATTTGGAAAAGCAGGGTGGTCAGGCGGATCTGGAGGACGAGGAGAAGGAGGAGGCGGTGGAGGAGGAGAAGGATGAGGATCGCAACGACGACGACCACGACAAGGACGGGGGGGAAAAGGATGAGTAGAATGGCGCCTCGCTCACGTCCACCCCTGATTTCGGCGCTGGGAGGAAGATTAATATAGCGAAGGATATATATATATACATATAGAAAACAAAAAACAGAAAACAAAACAAAGGAGAGAGAGAGAGAGAGAGAGAGAGATATAGCAACCCGCACCCCGCCCCCACCCACACACACATACACATACACACACACACACACGCACACACATACACACATGCACGCACGCACGCACGCACGCACGCACGCAAGCACGCACACACACACACACACACACAAAAATACACACACACACACGCGCGCGCGCGCACGCGCACGCGCACGCGCACGCGCACACGCACACGCACACACGCACACACGCACACACGCACACACGCACACACGCATACACGCACACACGCACACGCACACACGCACACACGCACACACGCGCACGCGCGCACACACACAACACACACAACAACAACAACAACAGCAACACCAACAACAACAACAGCAGCAGCAGCAACAACAACAACAGCAACAGCAACAGCAACAACAACAACAACACAACACACACACCACAACAACGACGACCACACCAACAACAACAACAACAACAACAACAACAACAACAAACGCAACAACAACAACAACAATAACAGCACCAACAACAACAACAACAACAACAAGCTCACGCACACGCACACGCACACGCACACCCACACCCACACCCACACCCACACCCACACCCACACCCACACCCACACCCACACCCACACCCATACCCACACCCACACCCACACCCACACCCACACCCACACCCACACCCACACCCACACCCACGCCCACGCCCACGCCCACGCTCACGCCCACGCCCACGCCCACGCCCACGCCCACGCACACGCACACGCACACGCACACGCCCACGCACGCACGCTCGCTCGCTCGCACACACACACATACACACACCCACGCTTGCACGAACTGCTTGTCACACACACACACACACACACACGCGCACACACACACACACACACGCACGCACGCACGCACGCACGCACGCACGCACGCACACACACACACACACGCACACACACACACACACGCACACACACACACACAAACGCACGCACACACACACACTCACGCATACACGAACTGCTTGTCTGCGGGCTGTTGGAGCCCACGCACATGAGAAGGAGGACGCGCCGTCCGAGCAGTGCGTTCAGGAGGGGACGTGATCGACGACTCGGCACAGGTGAGAGGGCCGCGGAGGAGGAGGAGGAGGAGGAGGAGGAGGAGGAGGAGAAGAAGAAGGAGGAGCAAGAAGAGTGGGCAGACATTCGCTGCGATGCATGGCGAAGGTGCGGCGAGATGCACGATCAGCGGACAGGACATTTTACGGAGCGGAGCGCTCTTGGTGCAGGTGGGGCAGAGCGGTCAAGAATGGAGAGGATGCAGCACGGTCAGGAGCGCCCATCCGACCGCTTGCCCACCTTTTCCCAGCAAGCTGCTGGCCACGACTCCGCAGGATATTCGGGGGGAGTCGCCCCCTCTCGGGGTCACGACTCCGCAGGATATTCGGGGGGAGTCGCCCCCTCTCGGGGTGCAGATGCTCGATAGTCTTCAGGGTGTTGGCGAGGGGGGCGGGGGGAGTCTCGCATGCGGGACACCTCGGCCAGTCCGAGAACCAGGGTCGCGTTGGAGCGAGCCTAGAGAGCCAGCGAGTGCCGCCCGGCCGATCTCCAGCCGCACGCGCACACGCTCACACACACATACACACACACACGATCACAAAAACACACGCGCGCACACACAAACACAGACACATGCGCGCGGTGATGCACCATCGGCCAGTCAACGAGCAGCGGGACGCGCAAGGTCAGATGCCTTACCTTGGATGATCGAGGGAGTTGGCACCTCTTCCTTGGAGGATCGAGGGAGTTGGCACCTCTTCCTTGGAGGATCGAGGGAGTTGGCACCTCTTCCTTGGAGGATCGAGATATTCCAGAAAAGGGCCTTACCTTGGAGGATCGAGGGAGTTGGCACCTCTTCCTCGGCGGAGGGCGGCGAAGGTCGGCGGAAGGCCAGCGGAAGCCAGCGGAAGTCAAAGATGCGCCCCCAAGACAAGGTACTGAAAAGGTGTGGCGACCACACTGCGTGGTGAGTCAGCGGGGATTCGGGGTCACCGCACGGTTTTGGGACTCGGGTCGTTCTCCGAGGATGTCTCGGGCGATGCGGGCCTCGGAGGTCCCAGGACCGTGCGATGACGGACCGCGCGGTGAGGTCTCCTGGAATCGTCGAGGTCACCGCGCGGTCCGCCACCGCACGATTCTGGGACCCCCGACCGTGCGGAAAAGTCCAACGAACGCCATGCGGCGGACTTCGCAGCGCGTCCAGCACAAGGGGCAAGACAGCGGCTGCGGCAAGAGACGCCAGCCCGTGGGGGGAAGGAAGTCTAGACGACCACGACGGAGCGACAGGAGGAGGCCAAAGCCGAGGAAGGCGAGAGAGACGAACGACAACGAGCGACAAGGAGAGGCGGATGGGCACAGAAACCCGAGTGCGCGCGACCCACGCGACGCATCCAGCAAATTGGGAAGCACTTGGGGAGGAGTGCACAGCCTGCGCATGGGCATCCCGCGGCAAGGGAGAAACGTCGACTCGGGGGCTTTTGGAGCCAAAACTGGGCTTCGTTATTTGTTAAGGGGAACGAAGAATGACGTAAACACAGAAACTCAGAGGTCCGCGCGGATTTCTCGGATCGGCGCTGGACACCCCTCCCTGGCGCGCGGAGCGCGCCAGGAGCGGCGCCGGTTGCGCCGCCAGGGGGTTCCAGCGCGAATCCGAGCAATCCGCGCGGACCTTCGAGTTTTTATGTTTATGTCATCCTTCGTTCCCCAATGATTGAGCGTTCACCTTATGGTAGCAGCTCGACTGTAGGTAGAGATGCTGGGCCACGCCGAGGCAGGGGAGGGGGAGCAGCAGCAGCGGCTGTGAAAAGCGAGAGCGGCAGGGGAGCGCTGGGCGCCAGGCAGACGAAGCAGACGGTGGAGGGCCTGCGTCATGAGCTGCCGCTCCTCCGCGGCCTCCCTCCTCCTCCTCCTCCGTAGCCATTTTGGCTCAAGGCTATGAACCGTCCCGACGACCGCGAGTCTTTCGGGGCGACCTCAGAGCGCGAGGGAGGTTTTGCTTTGAGGCCACTCTCCAGTTCAGTTCTCTGCTGCCTCTGATCCGAGGACACACCACAACGATTTGCTGCCTTCACCGCGGGAGTTGGGCCCCCGCTTAGTCAGCGCTTCTGATGCCAGATCGTGAGAAGAACGATAAGAAGTCCGATAAGAAGGAAAAGAAATATGGTAAGGTCAAGAAGGGTGGCAAGAGCGAGGGCACCCCTGCCAGGCGTCGCCAAGGTGCTGCTCGCTCCCCTTCTGCTGATGCTGGCGGCAGGTTGTCTCCTATTTCTGCAGCTTCGTCTCCGCCTCGCACACCGCGTACCCCTCGTGCTGAATCGGGTCGCGGTCGGAGAGAGGACACGATTCTTACACCTGGACAGAGATCGCGCAGCAGCCGAGGAGGAGTACCTTCTCCTGGTCCAGTGCCCCGTGGAGACGCACGAGCACAGGCTGCTGCTGCCACCCTTCAGGAGACGGAGCTTCTGGAGTCACTGGACGCTGCCCCTACCTTCCCCTCGCAAGAGTTTAGCCGTGGTCTCAGCGGAGCTTCCTCCGCGAGTGCTGGACCCCAGTCATGGCCTGCTCCATCATCTGTCCATCACCTCGCGGGGCGCTGGCGTGGCATGGCAGGTGGCTTGGGCGACGGCGCAGGTGCAGCTGCTGCCGCTGCGCCGCCCGCTGCTGGAGGCCCTATCCTGGACCCGTGGGCGCAGGCGAATGCACACGGTATCGCTGAGCAGGTCCAGACTGAGATCGCCGCCAGCATCCAGAGGATTGCTCATGAGGAGCTGGGCAAGACTATCGATGCCAAGATGCCTGGGATCGTCGCTGGCGCCATTCAGCCTCTGTTCAAGAAGTTCGAGGAGCAGGTGCAATCGCAGCTGTCGGCGCACCCTCGGAGGATCGGTGCGGCCGAGTCGGACATCTCAGAGCTTCGTCGAGTGCAGGCCGAGTATGAAGCGAGGTTCAAGGCGCTGGAGCAGGAGCTGGACCTTTCGAGACAGAGGGTGCACGTGCCTATCGCTCTTACTATCTCGCACTGGCGAATGGGAGCGCGCTGTGGACAGGACCATCTTGCTGGTGCGTGCCCGCTCCGACGTTGGATACGAGGCCGTTGCTGCTAGTTTGCAGTCGTGGCTCCAGGATGCATCCTACACGCTCGGCCAGGAGGTCAAGTTGGAGGGTGAGCAATTGGCGCGATCCTTTACCCTCAAGTTCCAAGGTGCTGCTGCTGAGCGCAGGGCAGGTGCGGCATTGGCGGCCATTCGTACTCCAGCTGGACAGTGGCGATCTTTCGTGGCGAACGACCCCAGCGGTCGCCCTGTGGCGCTCTCGGTCTCAGCCGACAAGAACCGTAATGACATTTCGCGCGAGATCACCTGCAAGAAGATCAAGAATGCCTTCGCTGCCAGATTTGGTCGCCCAGTATATGTTGACCGTGAGGCAGGAGTGCTCTCGATGGGATGGGGGCGCTTGCTCAAGGTCGAGGTTCACCCGACAGAGAAGCCGCCCTTCAAGTGGAACTTGGACGCGCTCGCCAACTTACACGTGCAGGGACGGGAGCTGGAGGACCTCGCCATCGAAT